CATGGCTACGGCCTTGATACAGGGTGGCCCTAAACTAAGAAGACGCACGCGGTTATTGCATTTATTTGAACAAATCACATAGGGTTGCTTCATTTATGTTAACAAATGTTATAAAACTGACTTCCATGAGCATCCGTGCTTGATGCATGAATTATCTTTTGAAATTAATTCAGGACTTGTTTTAAATGTGTACATAAATATAATAGCCGCCTTCTTTGGCATAAATTAAGCCACGATTTAAACACGCTAGTCGTTGCTCAATGTTCTTGGCAATTTTTTTCAAAATACCAACTGAAAAGGAAAAATAAAAATAAACGTCGATGTTAACAACGATAATAGCATTTTAATTTTCAATGTTACCTTCCAAACACAAATGAATGTCGGAACTCAGACTTCCTCTTAAGTGCCCGTGCAAGTTTCTCGCTCTGCTCTGCAGGCTCATGAGCGTGTGCTTTGGTACCAGTGTGTGTGCTTTGTCTGTGATGCGTTCGACCAGCCTTGCTGCTGTTGTTGTAGTATCCGCCGTGATGCTCGTAACCGCGACGTTGATGCACGACATTGCCATTCGGAACTTGAGCTTGCAGCACCTGTTTATGGATTGGTTCGTCCGTGGGGTTTTTCTTGGACGGGGGGAGGGGAGGGGGCAACCAAGCCCCCCCCCCCCCCCCCGCCCAAAAAAAAGATAATTAATTCCCAATAGATAATTGTTTTACCTGTTCCAAGACAAACTGAAACCTAAAAGTATGGCGAGCACACACGCGTGTCGTTTGCATGACATCGCGAGCAATAGAACTTCACGGTTCGAATCAGACTGGATGCCCGGGTTATCACTTTCATTAACTACCCAGCACTGTAGTAACATTGCCTGCTACTGTCCTGCACTGTAGTAACATTGCCTGCCACTGTCCTGCACTGTAGTAACATTGCCTGCTACTGTCCTACACTGTAGTAACATTGCCTGCTACTGTACTGCACTGTAGTAACATTGCCTGCTACTGTCCTGCACTGTAGTAACATTGCCTGCCACTGTCCTGCACTGTAGTAACATTGCCTGGTACTGTCCTGCACTGTAGTAACATTGCCTGCCACTGTCCTGCACTGCAGTAACATTGCCTGGTACTGCCCTGCACTGTAGTAACATTGCCCTGGTACTGCCCTACACTGTTAGTAACATTGCCTGCTACTGTCCTGCACTGTAGTAACATTGCCCTGGTACTGCCCTACACTGTTAGTAACATTGCCTGCTACTGTTCTGCACTGTAGTAACATTGCCCTGGTACTGCCCTACACTGTTAGTAACATTGCGTGCTACTGTCCTGCACTGCAGTGACATTGCCTGCTACTGTCCTGCACTGTAGTAACATTGCCTGCTATTGTCCTGCACTGCAGTGACATTGCCTGCTACTGTCCTGCACTGCAGTGACATTGCCTGCTATTGTCCTGCACTGTAGTAACATTGCCTGCTACTGTCCTGCACTGCAGTGACATTGCCCTGCTACTGCACTACACTGTTAGTAACATTGCCTGCTACTGTCCTGCACTGTAGTAACATTGCCCTGATACGGCCCTACACTGTTAGAAACATTGCCTGCTACTGTACTGCACTGTAGTAACATTGCCCTGGTACTGCCCTACACTGTTAGTAACATTGCCTGCTACTGTCCTGCACTGTAGTAACATTGCCCTGGTACTGCCCTACACTGTTAGTAACATTGCTTGCTACTGTCCTGCACTGTAGTAACATTGCCCTGGTACGGCACTACACTGTTAGTAACATTGCCTGCTACTGTCCTGCACTGCAGTGACATTGCCCTGCTACTGCCCTACACTGTTAGTAACATTGCCTGCTACTGTCCGGCACTGTAGTAACATTGCCCTGTTACTGCCTTACACTGTTAGTAACATTGCCTGCTACTGTCCTGCACTGTAGTAACATTGCCCTGGTACTGCCCTACACTATTAGTAACATTGCCTGCTACTGTCCTGCACTGTAGTAACATTGCCTGCCACTGTCCCGCACTACAGTGACATTGCCCTGCTACTGCCCTACACTGTTAGTGACATTGCCTGCTACTGTCCTGCACTGCAGTGACATTGCCCTGGTACTGCACTACATTGTTAGTGACATTGCCTGCTACTGTCCTGCACTGCAGTGACATTGCCCTGGTACGGCACTACACTGTTAGTAACATTGCCTGCTACTGTCCTGCACTGTAGTGACATTGCCCTGCTACTGCCCTACACTGTAGTAACATTGCCTGCTACTGTCCTGCACTTTAGTAACATTGCCCTGGTACTGCCCTACACTGTTAGTAACATTGCCTGCTACTGTCCTTCACTGTAGTAACATTGCCCTGGTACGGCACTACACTGTTAGTAACATTGCCTGCTACTGTCCTGCACTGTAGTGACATTGCCCTGCTACTGCCCTACACTGTAGTAACATTGCCTGCTACTGTCCTGCACTGTAGTAACATTGCCCTGGTACTGCCCTACACTGTTAGTAACATTGCCTGCTACTGCACTGCACTGTAGTAACATTGCCTGCTACTGTCCGGCACTGTAGTAACATTGCCCTGTTACTGCCTTACACTGTTAGTAACATTGCCTGCTACTGTCCTGCACTGTAGTAACATTGCCTGCCACTGTCCCGCACTACAGTGACATTGCCCTGCTACTGCCCTACACTGTTAGTGACATTGCCTGCTACTGTCCTGCACTGCAGTGACATTGCTCTGGTACTGCACTACATTGTAGTAACATTGCCTGCTACTGCCCTACACTGTAGTAACATTGCCCTGCTACTGCCCTACACTGTAGTAACATTGCCCTGCTACTGTCCTGCACTGTAGTAACATTGCCCTGCTACTGCCCTACACTGTAGTAACACTGCCCTGCTACTGCCCTACACTGTAGTAACATTGCCTGCTACTGTCCTACACTGTAGTGACATTGCCTGCTACTGTCCTACACTGTAGTGACATTGCCCTGCTACTGTCCTGCACTGTAGTGGCATTGCCCGCTACTGCCCTACACTGTTAGTAACATTGCCTGCTACTGTCCTGCACTGTAGTAACATTGCCTGCCACTGTCCTGCTCTACACTGTAGTGACATTGCCCTGCTACTGCCCTACACTGTAGTAACATTGCCTGCTACTGCCCTACACTGTTAGTGACATTGCCCTGCTACTGCCCTGCACTGTAGTAACATTGCCCTGGTACTGCCCTACACTGTTAGTGACATTGCCCTGGTACTGCCCTACACTGTAGTAACATTTCCTGCTACTGTCCTGCACTGTAGTGACATTGCCTGCTACTGTCCTGCACTGTAGTAACATTTCCTGCTACTGTCCTGCACTGTAGTGACATTGCCTGCTACTGTCCTGCACTGTAGTAACATTGCCCTGGTACTGCCCTGCACTGTTCGTGACATTGCCTGCTACTGTCCTGTACTGTAGTGACATTGCCCTGGTACTGCCCTACACTGTTAGTGGCATTGCCCTGCTACTGCCCTACACTGTTCGTGACATTGCCTGCTACTGTCCTGTACTGTAGTAACATTGCCTGCTACTGCCCTACACTGTTAGTGACATTGCCCTGCTACTGCCCTGCACTGTTAGTGGCATTGCCTGCCACTGTCCTGTACTGTAGTGACATTGCCCTGCTACTGCCCGACAGTGTTAGTGGCATTGCCCTGCTACTGCCCTACACTGTTAGTGGCATTGCCTGCCACTGTCCTGTACTGTAGTGACATTGCCTGCTACTGCCCTACACTGCTAGTGACATTGCCCTGCTACTGCCCTACACTGTTAGTGGCATTGCCTGCCACTGTCCTGTACTGTAGTGACATTGCCCTGCTACTGCCCTACACTGTTAGTGACATTGCCCTGCTACTGCCCTACACTGTTAGTGGCATTGCCTGCCACTGTCCTGTACTGTAGTGACATTGCCTGCTACTGTCCTGCACTGTAGTAACATTACCTGCTACTGTCCTGCACTGTAGTAACATTGCCTGCTACTGTCCTGCACTGTATTAACATTGCCTGCTACTGTCCTGCACTGCAGTGACATTGCCCTGCTACTGCCCTACACTGTTAGTAACATTGCCTGCTACTGTCCTGAACTGTAGTAACATTGCCCTGGTACTGCCCTACACTGTTAGTAACATTGCCTGCTACTGCCCTACACTGTAGTGACATTGCCTGCTACTGTCCTGCACTCTAGTGACATTGCCCTGCTACTGCCCTACACTGTAGTGACATTGCCTGCTACTGTCCTGAACTGTAGTAACATTGCCCTGCTACTGCCCTACACTGTAGTGACATTGCCTGCTACTGCCCTACACTGTAGTAACATTGCCTGCTACTGCCCTACACTGTTAGTGACATTGCCTGCTACTGTCCTGCACTGTAGTAACATTGCCTGCTACTGCCCTACACTGTAGTAACATTGCCCTGCTACTGCCCTACACTGTAGTGACATTGCCTGCTACTGCCCTACACTGTAGTAACATTGCCAGCTACTGCCCTACACTGTTAGTGACATTGCCCTGCTACTGCCCTGCACTGTAGTGACATTGCCCTGCTACTGCCCTACACTGTTAGTAACATTGCCCTGCTACTGTCCTACACTGTCAGTGACATTGCCCTGCTACTGCCCTACACTGTTAGTAACATTGCCTGCTACTGTCCTACACTGTCAGTGACATTGCCATACTACTGCCCTACACTGTTAGTGACATTGCCCTGCTACTGCCCTGCACTGTAGTGACATTGCCCTGCTACTGCCCTACACTGTTAGTAACATTGCCCTGCTACTGTCCTACACTGTCAGTGACATTGCCCTGCTACTGCCCTACACTGTTAGTAACATTGCCTGCTACTGTCCTACACTGTCAGTGACATTGCCATACTACTGCCCTACACTGTTAGTGACATTGCCCTGGTACTGCCCTACACTGTCAGTGACACTGCATCGTCATCGTCGTTTGTGTTCCCCAGCACTGGGTGGCATCGCGGGCCACTGGTCGCAGGCGGCGCAGGGCACTTCGTGCGCGTCGCGGCCGCGCAAGAAGCGCGTCCCCTACAGCAAGCAGCAGATCTCCGAGCTGGAGAGAGCCTTCGACGAGAACCGATTCCTCACCCCGGAGCTGCGCCTCAGCATCTCGCACCGGCTCAGCCTCACCGAGCGACAGGTGAGTGGGGCAACAGACGCAACACACACGCGTGCACGCACGCACCCGTCAATTTCTGTTGTTCGTGTGATTACAAAGTAATATATTTGTAAGCACGCTCAGTCCTCGCTTTACGCGCTGGTGTTCCCCCAACGCGTTTTCGCTGTAACCGCGGTCCTTACATCTGGGGACACTTTTCGCCCAACGTGGAACGCGCCCCCCGTTATAAGGCAGAACGCACACTGTTATAACGCAGAACGCACACCGTTATGGAAGGTAATCCTTCCATTATAACGTGGGCGGTCGATGACGAGCTACTTTCTAGCGCTGCGTGGCTGAGCGGTGCGATGACAGAGTAACACGGACTGATATTTTACCACGCGTGTGTGTAGTGGTACATCGTATCTCGGCAAACCTTATCGTTACTACATTATTCACGATGGGGAAATTGTTTTCGCTCAACGGGTTTTTCGCTGAATGCGGCACTTTTCAGGAAGGCGTCTGCAAGCGCGTTCAACGAGGACTGACTATATATATATATAACGTGTTGCACGCAGGGCCCAAGGTGCAGATAGAGTGGGTGAGAGGCGAGGATGATGTGGATGTGCAGGGTAAATGAGTAATGTACAGATGCGTGTGAGGAAGGTCCGGTTATGTTAAAAAGAAGATGAATGTGCAAGTGAAGTATTGATCAGGTACATGCACAGGTAGAAGTAAAGTGAAGGTACGCGTGCCGGTACGGTGCAGGTAAGGTGTAGGTACAGGTTAGGCTTAGATTTAGGTGGGTTGTATCCACAGGTGAGTTGCATGTAGATACCGGTAATGTTTAGGGAGCCGTAGGTGCAGGTAATAGTCGGATACGGTGGATATACGGGTAAGGTTTAGGCACAGGTACGGCTGAGACACTGGTAAGGTGAAGGTACAGGTGAGGTGTAGGTACAGGTGAGGTGTAGGTACAGGCAAGGCACGTGTTTACGAGCGAGGAAGGTGGGAAGGCGTGAAGCGCTGCGTTGTGGGAATGCGCATCCCTTAAGCGAGCGGAATGTTTCGTATTTACTGACAAAGGCAAGTGGGCGGGGGTAGTGGGGTGGGGGTGGCCGTGTAGTCGCTGAGTCTCTCTCTCTCTCCCTCTCAAGGGGGACCTCGGCTACAGACAAGAAATACACCACATGGTTAAAAACAAAAAAAAAGACCCGGCCGTGGTGGCCATCATAAACCGCGCCTGCAACAAAGCGCTCGCGTGTCAAAGGTCATTGGCGCCTCGTGTGGAGATTTTGTGAAACTCCCACAAACCCCAGCGCCCCTCGCCTCCCCCCAACAATGAGATGGCGGCACAGCACGCGGGTTCGTGAACCCATCTGTGCGGATCTTGAAGCGAGCCCTTGGTTCGTGTAAGGTTTTTACCAGGCAGGCTGGTTTCCTCACCGTACGTAAACACACACCAACCCCGACCGCAATTACTACTGCTACTACGAGTAAATACACGTTTAATTTTATTTTAACAGCCTAGGCCCACTGAGCTATGTATGTAGCTCTTTTTCATAAGCAACGTGGCCACAAATGATAGCTCAAGCAAGTGGCTTATCGTGTGGAAATTTATAGCAGTCAAATACTCGAAAACCGGACGACCCGGAGACAAGTCCACGCGACCACAGGGGGAAGAGAGAGAGAGAGACACGCAAACTACAAATATACAGCAGGAGTCAGGGTGGTAAATCGAACCCACGAACTCCTGCGTACCAGGCGAGGTAGTTAACATCTCCTCGCCACCGCAGAGCAATCGACCCAAGGCAGTTGCACCAGAGGCAGGTCTGACTGTGTACGCAAGCGTGGCAGTATCTGCGTGTTTGTTATTTTGTGTGTTGGGGAGTAGTAGGGTAGTCAGTAGCGCACTGCGCTACACGAGTTCGATTCCTGCTCAACAGCCAACGCCAGTGACGATTATCTGAACCGGTCCTGGGCCTCCCCTAGGTCGACTCAGTTACAAACGAGTACCTGGTGCGGTGCGTAAACATCGCCACTGGGGAGACAAAGGCGGTCGGGCGTGGTGCTGGTCACCCACCCCTCGTGTGCCACAGTGCCGGCCTTCATAGGTGTTCGCTAACAGCACTTGCCCCAACGAGTCTGCATCGGCTTTACGGACGGGGGTATTTGTCTCTGTATATGTCAAGGCCGCAGCCATGGAGTCAACATTGGGGGGGATCAAATCTTCCAGGGTGTCTAGGGGTCCCAACCCAGAAAAATAACTAAATTTGAAAATATAATTTCCTGCCTTAAATATAAAAACATTCACTAACACGGGATAGACTTTATCTTTTCTTTTTTACAATAATGTCTAATAGTGTATTTATTACATTGTTCTATTTTTACTTTTTACCATTTCTTGTTTCATTGTATGTAATGGCAGAAATTAGGAATTAATAAAGTACAACCATAACCACAATCATATAAACAGAAATCTATGCTTTGATTTATATGAAGACAAGTTCAGATATTGTGGCCAAGGTTTAGCAGATTGTTGTTTTTATTTGTATAGCATAGCAATTTTTATTATAGCAATATATTGGGGGGGACTATTTGAGCATATTTGAATATTTGGGGGGCATGTGTCCCCCCCCCAAAATATATTATAATTACGCCCTTGGTATATGTAGTATAACAATACTGCAGTTGCATTGCACGATAACATATGCCGTGTGTAATGTTTGTGTGTGTGTGTTCGCGCTGTGCACGTTATGTCCGACTGAGTATCACTTGCCGATAAAATGTGCGCATGAGTTAGGTGACTCGCGAATGGGTGTAATCAGTGTAGATACGGAAACGTTTAAAGGCGCTGTATATCGGGTGATTAAATTGTGGAGTTTGAGTTGCAGCACTATTAAATATTATTATTATTAACACTGCTATGATTCAATGCCTATATATATACTTATACGTTCATTATTTGGGTGATGGTGCAAAAGCACAAGTACAAAAGACTTAGCACGTTCGTCAATAACACTGTGACCTTAAATATGTATAAATAGGCGACGTTTCGGGGAATGACCCTTTACCATATCACTCACATTACGCAAAACGGTACTTACAAAATAACTTTATTTATTTTTATTTAGTTTTATTTACGCTCGTTTACATAGGTTGTGTACGTATCATGTACAATAGCCTCATGAACGTTATATTGCGTGTACACGATAAAGACTTACGTGGGCTATATATATATACAATAAATCAATACAACTGTTGATAGAAGCATCGCACAATTGCGAACAACTGAATCGCACAGAACGCTGAGGAGGCAGAATAATTATAACGATGTTTATAAATCATTTTGGCATATGTGTTGCTATGTTTGGTTCTTTATAGAAAAGTTAAGAAATAGAAAGAGTGTTTTCTATGTTTGTGGCGTGCGTGTTGTCTACATCACCGCATTGTGACGCAATGACACGTGATGCCGGTACAGTTGCCACGTGTTCACTCTGAGCGTGCGACGCTTTGACGACGATACAAATAATTTCGACCTTCGGCCACGCCACACGAGAGTTACCTTTCATGTTTATGAAAAGTACGTTCACTATACATTGAATATGCATAGATAAGAATGGTATGTACTTTAAATTGTCGTTCGCATGTACATATGTGAATGTTCGGCTGCAGTAGGCCTACAGTGTTGTGTTCGCGTGAGTGATTTTATGTGCGTGTGAATGTGTGTTGTAGTGACGATTATCTGAACTGGTTCTGGGCCTCCCCTAGGTCGATTCAGCCTCAAATGAGTACGTGGTACGGTCAGTGCCGGATTCAGCTAGTGCGGGGCCTGTAGCATATGTTATGAAGGGGCCCTAAATAAAAAAACACACGTAAATAATAAAACACACGTTTTTTTAATCCATAACAGGTTTTTTTGGGGTTAGATCGCGTAAATATATAAATGCGTCCTTAAAACCTGCCACCACCCAAACTGTTTTACTTGCACAGTAAAGTAATTGTATTTTTTCATTTGCTATACAGCCAGATAATACGACACATCGCTAACCTTAAACACCCAGTCGTTCATACAAGTTGAAGGCAGTATAGTACAATAGTAATAGAGCAAGTGCAGAATCGCTGAACCAGAATTGATAGCTTGAAATCATTTAGCGCGAGGCCCTTGAAAGTGCGGGGCCCGTAACATGTGTAGCTACTTGTGCTACGAGGATAATCCGGCACTGGGTACGGTGTGGAGACATCGCGACTCGGCCGACAAAGGCGGTCGGGCGTGGTGTTGCCCCCCCCCTCCCCCGTGTGCCGTGCCGGCCTTCATAGGTGCTACTCGCTAACAGCACTCGCCCCAACAGGCTGTTACGGCTATACGGGGGACCTTTGTATTTGTCTTTTAAATGTGTGTCGAGGGGAACGGTGGTGTATCGGTTAGCGCGCTGCGCTACGAACCCGGCGACCCGAGTTCGGTTCCCGCTCACGGCCAACATCCAGTGACGATTATCTGATCCGGTCCTGGGCCTCCCCTAAGTCGACTCAGCCTCAAATGAGTACCTATTGCGGTGTGAAAACAATGCCACTAGGGAGACAAAGGCGGTCGGGCGTGGCCAACTCGTGCGCCGTGCCGGCCGTCACAGGTGCTCGTTCACAGCACTTGCCCCAATAGTCTGTTGAAGACTATACGGGGGTTCTTTGTCTTTGTTGAACATGTGCAATAATACATACTGAACATATGTGGCTTCACGGGAAGGGTTCTGTCATTGTCAATATATAATTGCTGTACATTGAAATTAGGCGTAATATATATGTACCCTAAACTCAACGTACTTACCTGCAACAAAATACAAAGATCCCCCGTATAGCCCTAACAGACTATTGGGGTAAGTGCTGTTAGCGAACCCCTATGAAGGCCGCCACGGCACACGAGGTTGTGGGTGGCCAGCACCACACCCGCTCCCCTACGTCTCCCCAGTGGCGATGTTTACACACCGCAACAGGCACTCATTTGAGGCTCAGTTGACCTAGCGGAGTCCCAGGACCGGTTCAGAAAATCGTCACCGGTGTTGGCCGTGAGCGGGAATCAAACTCGGGTCGCCGGGTTCGTAGCGCGGCGCGCTCACCGCTTCACTAACCCCAATGAACACTTACACACTCACGATAGGCCTACACGCACAGACATACACATACGTGCCCGCTATGACATACCGGGGCACAGGGTCGTAATGCACTGTGGTAGCCTACGAGAGCTGTGTGTACTCAGCAGCCCACTATTCACCACATTTAAAATGTTACCATGGCAATTCCTTTCAAGTGCTGTTACTTATTGATGTTACACCCACGTCGCACACACGCATATATACGCACACGCGAAACGCACAAGTCACGCACGTGTATTGCATTGCAAACGCGCACTCGTTTACTGAATCTCTCGGTGAGTTTTGACTCACGACAACCCCCCCCCCCCCCAGCCGGCAAACGCCACGCGACTCACTCCACCCGTGAATCCTTTAAAATTGACAACTGAGCGACTCTGAAAGATCACACTCCGGGCTATACTCTTTGGTTCTTTCGGTTAAGTCACGTAGGTATAAAATAAGATAAATCACGACGTTTCGGGCGCAACACCAGCGTCCGTCATCATTCCCCACCTAATGACGGGCGCTTGTGTTGCGCCCGAAACGTCGTGATTTGTTTTATTCTATACCCACGTGACTTTACCGAAAGAACCAAAGAGTATGGATCCCTGCAGTCACGAAAGCTTCAAATCTAGATGAAAACCTCTCTCGAGCTTCTAACACGACGTGTGCCCTCGGGACGCGTTGCCATGCCTTGCCCGTGCCCCGCTGGCCCCTCCCTTCCCTCCCTTGCCGCGCAGGTCAAGATTTGGTTCCAGAATCAGCGGCAGAAGGAGAAGAAGCTGATGCGAAGGCAGCAGAGTGGAGCCGCGGCCAACGCCTCCAACATCAACAACGGGAGCGGTGGCACGACCGGCTCGGCCACTCTGCCGTGAGACTCTCGCCTCGGCCTCTCCTCGCCCGGCTCCCCACGTCTCCCCCCCCCCCACCCACAACTCTCTCTGTCTCAGTTATCTTTATAAATACACCGCCCCCAACGCCTCTACTCCACACCGATCCCGCAACTGTGGCGAAATGCGCTTACACTGTAGCGCCCAATGAATGGCATCGTCACCACCACCACCACTACGACCATCATCGTCATCGTCGTCGTCCTCGTTGTGATTGATCATCGCCGTGGAACCGACCTCGGGACCGTCCCGAGGGCCAGCCGGTCGCTACGACGCATCTGTGGGCCCGCGACAGCCGGGACGCTGCTTGTGCGAGACGCACGGAGGAGGAGGAGACGCGGTTGTGTGTGTGTGTGGTACGTGTGTTACTTGACTGTGCCCCAAGCTGCAGATGTGCCTGTGTGTGCGTCTAATATATGAGGTTGACTCAGCCTCAAATGATGACCTGGTGCGGTGTGTAAAATTAAAAAAAAACATCGCCACTGGGGAGACAAAGGCGACCGGGCGTGGTATCTGGCAACTCACTGACACCCCTCCCCCTTCTCCCCACTCGTGTGCCGTGCCGGCCTTCAAAGGTGCTTCTTAACAGCAATTGCCCCTAACAGTATGTTAAGGCTATACGGGGGATCTTTGTCTTCGTGTGTCTATGCAATGCGAGAAATATTCACTGAAGGCAAAACGAAACTTTAACTCGGGGTCGTTCTGACTTCAAGATGCTGAAGATGTTGCAAATTCCGCGGAAGAACTTTACACTATTATAAGGACACTTTTATATACAGTATATATATATGTGTGTGTGTACTCTGCATTGCTCTGCTCTGAAATTACAGTTGATACCGGATTGTGTGTAGTGAGTAACTGCGTATTGTTAGTGAGTACTCGCTGTGGTAGCGAATATACTGACAGTGTGCCGTAATTTTAAATTTTTGTTTTCAAAGAATCAAAACGCACTAATTTAATGATGGTAAATACTATATATTGTCTCGCCTGCCCGTCCGAATGTTAAGGGACAGCGTGTGACACTCAGAGCAGAATTAATTGGCAATGCAAACAAGCCTTCCTGCAACAACAACAACAACAACAAACCATGCGTGATGTTCAATTGTCATTGGGATAAATTATCCACGATCATTCGTGAGTCTATTGTTATTTAAAGTTGATTTATTTTTTTGCTATCGTTATTAATATTTTATCCGTGTTCCACTTGCCACGTGGAGGCGAGCGTCTGTCTGTGTGACGTGTAAATACACTCCAAATTAGGACCGCATATATTAACAATCTATACCGACGTGTCCTGCCGTAGTAACTCTCTGATCTTGTAAAACCTGTCATGTGCAGCGTATTAATTAGGGTGTCACTCATTAACATGCAAATGGCGGGAAACAGAGTTAAGTTAAAACAAATACAATTACACTCTCTGAATGTGATACTTTGATGTAGAAGTCGACAGCTGAGGGTGTTATTCAAATATGTTCATATTTACGGGTTACTCGTGATGACTTGACACGACTTCTCTGCGTCTATGCCTCTACTATACCTCGACGTGTATCCATCTCATTACTTCTATTAAGTCGTTAAGCCAGCTGGCCAGCATTTGTGCAAAAAACCGAGCCCACTTTTCACCCAGGCAACTGGACAGCACGGGCTAATAATAGTTACTAACCGAACAAGAACACTCACTGCAATGCCATCTCGATTCCCGTTGAGTGACCAGTACATATTGAGGGGTGGTCTTCGAGTTCCCAGTGGCCTCAGTGTAACGGGTAAAATCAGTGAAGTCAGGAGGATGTCACCCTGACAATACCAAACTTGAATTCTGAGTGACACCCTGTCGTGTATAAATATTAAAGACTGCGCTATCCACAAGCATGTATACCATAGCTAATGTTAGGCGAGTGTTTGGGGCGGTTTGTGGGAGGGGTATTTTTTATAAATAAATTGCGTGACATTTGAAAGTGACGTGTGTGTGGACTGTCCAACTTTGCGTTCATCCGAAGAGTTCATACGAAGCTGAACTCGACAACGATCATCGCTCGGGGGGGGGGGGGGGGGGGGCTGCTGTGATCACGTGACCCCCACCTCGACGAGTCGACGAACGACCACGTGAACCGGACCGGCACCGCGAGCGCCGTTGGAACCATCAAAGTAAAACTACGAATTCGAGATTTGTAAATCGTCTGCTGTCGCGAAGGTCTTCCCTCTCACACGGGGTTGTTTGACCATACTTCACCAAGCGGGTAAGTGCACGTTGGCTGAGGCTGAGATTCGAACTCACGGGACAGGAATTCGAAAAAACATCGATCGCTCGGTGCGTTAACCGCATCGCCGCACAAAGAGTGAAAGTAGCTTCCGTTAACTGTTGCCACGAACAACAGACGTGTCTGTGAGTAGTTGTGTGTGTGGGGTGGCGGGTGATTGCGTGTTATCTCTCCGCATGTGTGGGTTTTGAACTAATCAAATTTCACCAGGTAAGGTCCACTGAGCTATGTGGCTCTATTTGAGAAGCGAAATGGCAACAAATGATAACTCAACGAAGTGGCTCATCATCGTGTGGAAATAAATTGATAGCAGCCAAATGCTCTAAACGCGTGAATATTGATTCTAAATGTGGAGGGAAAAACCGGAGAACCCGGAGTAAAATCCACGCGACCACGGGGGGAGAGAGAGAGACACGCACACTCCAAATATACAGCAGCAGACGTCAGGGGTCGGGGTCGAACCCACGACCTCCTGTATACCAGGCGAGGTAGTGAACATCTCGCCACCGTTTTCGTCCACACGCGACAACACTCGCCAAATGGCAATAGGCAAAACCACACACCAGAGGCGACATTCTCGTGAGAACGAGACGCAGTTGTGACACACAGGACGCCTTAGGCCTGCAGCTGAGTGGGTCACGCTTTCATTCCTCGTGGAGATATCTGCTCGCGTGTCCGCACAGCGGTTGAAGCGATGGGGAAGTGTACTACTACGTGTCAATGTGATTTGTCAATCATCCCCGCATTTGTATAAATTGTGCGCACCACATTCAGTCAGTCGCTGTGCCGGCCACCCATTCCCTCGGGTAACCGTCCGGCCTGCACTTGCCTCAGAATTATGTTGAAGGCTACACGGGGGATCTTTGTGTATGCATGTATGTTGAACTTCTTTCGCACAACCATACGTGGCCAACCGTGCGAATCGGAGGTGCCGGGGGAAGGGCAACCGACTGAACACACAACACGCAGTTCTACAGAAACTAGATGACGTATGACTAAATGTACAATACGCAGATATAATATCGACAAAACGACCTTCATAACCAAGTAATCGAATACATTTCTATCGAATTGAAGGGAGGTTGCATATCGTAAATGCATTGATTGCCGTGCAGACATTCAGGAGATGCGGCTTGCACTCGATGTAGGTCAACAGATAACATTCAAATTGATTTGTAGAGCTAAAGGTTACACGCCGTAAGGGGTCGAAAATATTTTAAGTTGCCGTGATTATTGGAACTATTGTGTCTACGTACAGTACGTACTGTGCTCGCAATCGAAGATTACCCTACTTTCTATACGTTCAGTACATGTGCATGTGTATGCTGCTCTTTGTAGTAGTATGTAAGCAAATAATATGGTGAGTGTTGTGTGTGTTTTGCATGTATAAATAATATATGTATTGGGTTTGTGTGTCTTTATATTGTCATATAGTTGAGCTAGAAAAACATCGCATTGACTCCTATTCCAGAATGTCCCTTGCCTGGTTCTATAGAGCGATTGGCCAAAGCCAATATTGTCTGGTTTTGTCTGGGATAAAACCGGACTCTCACCCCCTTCTACGGAACATTGTAAACGACACGACCACGGCCAAACAACGCCAACAGTGTACGCACGCGAGCTCCCGGGTGCGCTTCCCGGCGTTGTTACCGCGTGCTGCTCGGCGCGATGTCCGACGTTCCGTTCCACTTGCTGGAGGAGCTTCGTCAGGAACTGGGACTGAATATGCTAGCAGCAGGCATGCCATGGTGCCGAAGAACACGCCGGAAAACCCGAGATCACAACCCGAGATATCACAACCCGACATCACAACCCGACACAGCACCACCGCGGTATCGAACGCAGCATGGCAATACAGTACCCACAATGCCACCACTACTCCCGCTCCTCCTCGGCGTGGTGGCCTTCCCCCAGCACCGCCGATGAGCACGGTTGGCCACGTACGGTACGAAAGAGGTTCAACAAACACACACACGCGCGCACACAAACACATACACACACACAAACGCACACACGCACACACACACAAACACATACACACACACGCACACACACGCACACACACACACACAAAAGCACACACGCACACACACACGCACACACACACACGCACACACACACACACACACGCGCACACACACACACAAAGCACACACGCACACACACACGCACACACACACACGCACACACACACACACACACGCGCACACACACACACGCACACACACACGCACACACACACACACACGCGCACACACACACACGCGCACACACACACACGCGCACACACACACGCACACACACACGAACACACACAAACGCGCACGCGCGCACACAAACACATACACACACACGCGCGCACACAAACACACATCTTAGCCAAGACAGTGACGAGCAACAGACGGGATGGAACCGAGCGAGGGCGAGTCACGCTCCGGCCTCTCGTCACCCCCCCACTCCCCCCCACTCCCCCCCACTCCCTGACGCAGCGAGCCCGGGCGTGCGATGTGGCCTTGGTGTTGGCAGGGGGCGGCGAGGAGGGGGGCGGGTGAGTAGTCAGGAGGGGGGCGGGTGAGTAGTCAGGAGGGGGGCGGGTGAGTAGTTGGGGGGGGGTGGTTGAGGGTGGTGGTTGGTGGTTGATGACGCGTCCTCGGCGGTTGGTGGTTGCCCCCCCCCCCCCCCAGGCGAGGATGGGAAGTCCCCCGGGCAGCTGGAGGCGTCTCCCCCCCCCCTCTCTCTCCCGCGTCGGGGTCGCCGTCTCGCCCACAGCCCGATCTTCCTGTCGCACACAAAGCGGGCAATGATTGGGGGGGGGGGGGGGAGGAGAAAAAAAGCCCACGGGCCAGACTGCCTTGTCAGCCCCCCCCCCTCGCCGTGGCCCCCCAACCCCTCACCACCACCTCGCGCCCCCCGCGTGTGTATAAAGCACAGGTGCTCCTAGGGGGGGTCCTGTACATACCCCCCACCCCACCCCACTTATCCCCCTCATCCCCTCACCCCCCCCTAGCCCAGGGGCCATCTTCTCGCCACCGCCGTCGAGTGCGCCGCGACTCAAATGGGGTCAGGGTCGCGTCCGCGCCCCACGTCTCCGACACCGCGATGCGAGGGCGATCTCCTCGCCCTCTCCTCTCTCTCTCCTCGCTCTCTCCTCGCTTTCTCCTCTTTCTCCTCTCTCCTCGCACTCTCCTCTCTCCTCGCACTCTCCTCTCTCTCCTCGCTCTCCTCGCTCTCTCCTCTTTCTCCTCTCTCCTCGCACTCTCCTCTCTCCTCGCTCTCCTCGCTCTCTCCTCTCGCTCGCGCGCCAAGATCGAATCAAACCAATCGAGCTGTTTTCTTGACATGTGAATGTACATTGACAAAAGAAAATGTACACTCGACATATTCCGTGGCAATAGCACCTTCATTGCGGGTTCATATAGAAGCGGGCAGGCGACGTTTCGAGTAAGCGACACTTACTCGCGGCAGAGGGATTTCGCGTCGCCTCCTTGACAGAAGATTCACATCACAGCGCTTCGCACGTCAATGATTAAAAAACAAACGTACATCGAATGAATTGTCATTTGCGACGAGTGCGTGCGACTGTTATCGCTTGTGTGTGAGGATCTTCAATTTGTCGTTTAATGTGGCTTGCACGTCACAGTCAATTAACAAATTAAGCCCGTACCATCGCACGATCATAATCTGCATTTCGTATGGCGTGTGAACGGCAATCGTGAACAGCTTGCGTGTTGAGCGTGCCTTGCTAACAAGATTAAACCGCACACAACGTGATTGTCGTAGTTATTATCATCATCATCCATTCTCTATCCACTGCTAAGCTGCGCCTGGCTCCCGGCGAAAACCCCTCGACTCGCCTCGCACGGCACGCACGCATCGCACGGCAGCAGAAGGCCGTAACGCGCACGAGCGGCGAGATTTGTTGCATCACGGACACAAAACATAAATAGACACATTGCAAAACAAAAACAACTCACCCGTTACTTAACATGAGACAAAGACAAAGATTCCCACGAATAGCTTTCACAGACAGTTGGGGCAAGTGCTGTTAGCGAGCACCTATGAAGACCCGAACGGCACACGAGGTGGTGGGTGGCCAGCACCACGCCCGGCCGCCTTTGTCTCCCCAGTGGCGATGTTTTTACGCACATCACACCACGTATTATTCATTGTAGGCTGAGTCGACCCAGGGCCGGTTCAGATAATTATCGTCACTACTGGGTGCTGGCCCTCAGCGGGTCGCCAGGTTCGTAGTGCAGCGCGCTTTCCTCTACACCACCGCGAACATTCGAGAAACGCAGACAGAACGGAAGACAAAGACGGCCGGGGGCCGCGCCTGGTGCGGTGAGCAGCTGCGACAGGCCGTGGTGCGGACGGAGGGCCCTCACCTCGCGATGCGAGTGATGAGCAGAGAGAGAGTCGCAGGCGCTCACAGCTGCACGTGCACGCACACCAACATTACAGCCGTGCGTTGCGCGCATGTCTGCGTTATTGTGGACTTCTTTCATACTGCACGTAGCCTAGCGTGTTCATCGGAGGTGTGTTGTTGTGCCCTGCGGTGTGGTGAGTGAGTTGGTGAGTGAGTGTGTTGTTGTGACCTGCGGTGTGGTGAGTGAGTTGGTGAGTGAGTGTGTTGTTGTGACCT